AGGTATATTTTCACTTTTCCATTGTTGGGCGTACACTATTCTCGCTGCTGTTATAATGTGTAGTATTAAATATGTTGACCCTTTATCATGGCCCTCTGTTATAACTCCTAATAGAAATAATTCTGGTTTAAATTCTAACCTTTGTCCAACCATCTTTTCTAACCACATCTGAATCCGTCACCAAAATTCTTTTGCTTTTTTGGCATGTCTGCCACATGTGGTAATATGTGCCTGGTACCTGATTACATTTCCAGCATTTTGGGGATATATTACTGAACATTTTAGCCAATCTTGCTGGCAGAAGATGCCACCTATAAAACATTTTATATAATATTCCATATTCCATTCCCCATTGTTTCTACTACAAGAGCCTCCGTCTTCACACCTGCTTCAGCACCCTGTAGAATGGTGACGTATCTGAGAAAGTGATTGAAAATGTGGAAACAGAAGGTTTTCCAGTAAACATTGATGGTGCTTCTAATGCCCAAGTGAGCTGTGGATTTGCTTCGTACACGGGCTATAGATCACAGACTCATTAGAAGCTCAGGCTCTGGTCTTCCAACAGCACAAAGCAACATCACTGCTGTGGTTTTGGAGGAGTCACGCTGCCTTAACGCCAGCGGTCTGGATCAAACATTGCTTTGTTTGATGCGGCCACTGCCCTTGAAAAGAATAACGTGGAGCACTTTCCCTCCAGACAGAGCGTGACTCCCTGGAACTCTTTTGTGTGTGGGGGTCCATAAATCATTTGTCTCACCTACCCTGCATCTCTAAGGCCTGTTATTTATGCAACTTCAATACCAACGTGATTATCATCTCAACATGCTGCAGACAAGGGAGGTCCCAGATTGTGCTGGAAGAGACAACGGTTGTTGACAGCCAGCCAGGAAAGGCAGGAAGGGAAAGATGTCACAGTATCACAGCTTTGCTCTTTCAGACAACTCCACGCTGGTAGTCAAGGGTAAATCCAAAAGACCAAAGCTATACAACCACAAAGGGATGTGGTGGCTCAGTGGCTAAGACGCTGAGCTTGTCGATCAAAAGGTCAGCAGTTCAGCGGTTCGAATCCCTAGTGCCGCATAACGGGGTGAGTTCCCGTTACTTGTCCCAGCTTCTGCCAACCTACCCTGTTTCCCCAAAAATAAGACATCCCCTGATAATAAGCCCAATCGGGCTTTTGAGCGCATGTGCTAAAATAAGCCTCCCCCTGAAAATAAGCCCTCCCTGAAAATATTTAAATGCAGAGCTGGAAATCAGGTAAGACAGCAAGAGGAACTCCATCTTGCTCCACATGCCCCAAAATAATAAGACCTCCCCGAAAATAAGGCCATGCTCTTATTTCGGGGTTCAAAAAAATATAAGACAAGGTCTTATTTTCGGGGAAACACAGTAGCAGTTCGAAAGCACGTAAAAAATGCAAGTAGAAAAATAGGGACCAACTTTGGTGGGAAGGTAACAGCGTTCCGTGCATCTTTGGCGTTTAGTCATACCAGCCACATGACCACGGAGATGTCTTCGGACAGCGCTGTCTCTTTGGCTTTGAAACGGAGATGAGCACCGCCCCCTAGAGTCAGGAACGACTAGCACAAATGTGTGAAGGGAACCTTTACCTTTATACACCACTTAGTGTCATTGTGGATCAAATATAGAATCCTGAATTTCTCTGCTTGAAGGAAGGAGTGTGAGCTCTTATCGGTTGCATTATTCCTCCGGAGTATCAATGAAATTGAAATGATGAAATGAAATTGGGATTTTTAAGAAGAGCGATAAGCCTCTGGGCTCTTTCTAATGCCTTTCTACACTTTCATTTGGTTTCTTTTTCCAAATCAAAAGCCAAGATAGTGTAGGAAGTTAGCATCCACCCCACTCCTAGGAAAATGAGATATTTTAGGAAATATTAAAAGGGCAGAATATTTCCCCTAAAAAGGAGGCAGAAACTCAGTCCCCCCCACCATCACCACCTTTGTCAATGGGCCATTAAGGCCTGGGCCAGTCCATTCTACATAACAAAGATCTACTTCCTTCAATAGGAAGTGCCTAAAGCCCTTTCATTACATCATCACCCAGCAAGAGTCAACCAAGCCTGGGACTCAAAAGACAACCTACAAAGTTACCCCTGCATGGCCCCATGGGAGTCTGACAACCAATCAGAACACAAGCTCAAATTCAAAGCCCAACAGAGGGCATAAAACCCAGGCACTGTCAGCCTCTCTGCCCCTTTTTCTGCCCAGGATCTCAAGCCATGTGATCCTGTTCATCAATAAACCTTCTTTCCAAGCAACTTCCATGAATCCAGTGTCTTTTTCTCCACTTGGAACTGAACCTAGAAGAATATTTCTTCCAACAATTTATGGGTGGGGGGAACAAGTATTGCTGGCCCAAATATCTCAAAATGCCTCTTCTCAATCAGAGAGAGATGGAGAGGCTTCCCTTATTTTCAATTTTTAAAATTTTATTTTATTTTATTTTATTGATTTATTTTGCCTTTCTCTCAAGTTTGAAGTTGTGTTTGCTGGCTGTTTCAGAGTGAAAGGGACAGATTATGATTTATGAAGATAGCAGCCTAAATCATGCTTTTTCTTCAAGAGAGAGGCATCTGGGGAGGACCAGAATAGCTCTCCCCTTACGTTGGCATCTCTCCCCCCCCCCCCAAATTCCATCAATACTTTAAAATTTTGGAAACTCGATTGTCTCTGGCTGACTATCCAGGCAGCTAATATGTTCTGGGTGAAGGCTTCAGGATGTATGAAAGTTCCCTCAGTTTTACAATTCGTGTGTTTGAATGCATGCACATCTGCACTAAAATTCTTTATGAAACTTCCTGGGGCATCTTCTGCCGAGCATTCAAGACTGCGCTATTTTATATTTAACATTTGACATCCAAAGGTTTTATGCCACAGGAGTCAACATTTGACAGCAAATGTCTGGCATTTTACTAAATTCTACTCCGAGTCATCTATCAGAAACTGTCAAGAGATGCACTGCCACATTTGACAGACCTGAACAATGACGTGCAGCGGAGTTACCAACAGCAAGATAATACAACTCATCTTGGCCATCAAAAACAGACCACGTTTCAATTATTTCCCGGTGAATTTTGGCTTGATCATCATTGGTCAAATTTGGAATGTGGAGGAAGCAGAATCTTACCTTTCATGGACCTGCCTTTTCTTACTCTGATGTACATTATTGGGGGACTTAGCTGAGAATACAATATCTTGCTCTGCTAATAGGAAAAATAAAATAAAATCCAGCTTGATAATTTGGAGGCATGTCATTCCAGCTAGCCAATTTTCTTCCATAAAGCATTAAAGAACCAACCAGAAATTACAGAGCTGAGGTGGCTCAGTGGTTAGAGTGCAGTACTGCAGGCTACTTCAGCTGACTGCTAGCTGCAGTTCAGTCCAAATCTCACCAGGCTCAAGGTTGACTCAGCCTTCCATCCTTCTGAGGTGGGTAAAATGAGGACCCAAATTATTGGGGGCAATAGGCTGACTCTGTAAACCGCTCAGAGAGGGCTGTAAAAGCGATTGTGAAGCGGTATATAAGTCTAAGTGCTATTGCTATTGCTACTGTATATTTGCTGCCCATGATGGGCAGGAATAATGGGACAATACACCTGAAAGGCATGAGGTGTAGAAGACTGTTCTATATCAACTCTCCAGTTTTACTCTTCTGTGTTCAATAGAATCTATGAATTGGAAGGGGCTTTGCAGCTTTTATCCAATTTGTTACCACCTTCAATCATCAATGATTTAATCATCAATTGAACTCCTTAATCAGGATGAGAATTCACTAAACCATCTCCAAATCCCATTTGGAAACTTCTGTTGTGTAGAATATAGAATAGGAGCCGAGGTGGCACAATGGTTAGAGTGCAGCACTGCAGGCTACTTCAGCTGACTGCTAGCTGCAGTTCAGTCCAAATCTCACCGGCTCAAGGTTGACTCAGCCTTCCATCCTTCTGAGGTGGGTAATATGAGGACCCAGATTGTTGGAGGCAATATGCTGACTCTGTAAACTGCTTAGAGAGGGCTGTAAAGCACTGTGAAGCAGTATATAAGTCTAAGTGCTGTTGCTATATTGCCCCGTCCTTCTATTCAGGATCAACATTTCACAACGAGAAACCCTGCAATGGTAGACATTTGGAGCAAGATCTCTAAAGATGGTCACTTCACAATCAATTTTTTTGTAAAGTGATTTAATTGACAGATTTTGATGAAATGGACGAATTGACTTTTTTGATGAAAGACATTAATCTTTAATGAGAGGGCTGTAAAGCACTGTGAAGCAGTATATAAGTCTAAATGCTATTGCTATAGAATGGTGGCTCTCAACGTTTTCTTCATCATGGACCACTTTAAATACCTTTTGTGGTATGGACCATGGCCACAGACCACCAAGATGTAACTCAAGATTTAAATTTCTTCAAGCTTTCGTGGATCCCCTGTGATAACATCACAGCCCACCAGGAGTCCATGGATTACAGATTGAGAACCACTGATCTGCAACTCTAGGAACATAGAGTCATTCAGAACCAACCATTAAGATGTTTCTTTAGCTAGTATAGTGTAGTGATTAAAGCACTGGGGGCTATGGAGATCCAGGTTGAACTGAATTGAGTAGGTGATTTGGGAGCCAATCATTCCAGTCTTCCCATCAAGTTGTTGTTGCTGTGTAAAGAAAGTTCAAAACATCCTTAAAGATCCATCTCATCCTGGGCACCCTTTTTTTGGAACTATTACCATCTGGCAGACAGTACAGGATCATAAAAACAAGGACATATAGGCTGAAAAACAGCTTCTATCCCAGCGCAATTGCCATATTGAATTCTACGGTATAGTGCAATATCGGGTTATCAATTTCAATTATATAGAATGTGAAGGATGTATATTTGTGTTTTTATTTTTATAGTTATAATGTACACTGAAGACGGCATTTAAGTTCGTGGTACCATGTGCAATGACAATAAAGTAAACTAAACTAAAGACATGCCGGAGAACGCCTACGTAAATTAACCTTTGTTCCTGAAGAAAAGGTAGGATATCCATCAAACCAATAAATTCCAAACTGCAGGATGGGTGCACAATTGATCAGCTGTAGGCAGACCTCTTTTTCCATTGACAAGCAGATCCACACGGGCATGTTTAACCAATTCCATTTTTTTTTTTATTCAAGAATTGCCTTTAATACTAAAATGCCATTGAGTTTTGAAGCAGAGGAAAAAGAAAAGTCACATCAAAAAGAGGGAAACAAAGTTTTGCATCAGATTTTTTTTTTAAAGAAATAAAAACCGAAGGAGGGGGGGAAAAAAACAAACCAACATGGCATGTTACACCGATCTTTTTTTTTTATAACAGTTGTAATAATTTAATAAAGCCATTTTCTCTCTCTCTCTCTTTTTTTTTTTTTAAATCATTTTTCAATAAAATAGACAGCATGGTGATTCTTCACCCACCCCAAGTTTTCCCTGTTTACAATGATTCAATCACTGTGAAAATGTACATAACATACATATCAGCATATACAACAAGGTTTGTTCTTTGTATTGTCAGCAACAGACACCGTGAAGAAACCGAATGTAGACAAAGTCCCACCGAGATCCATCCTTCGTGAAGCCACAATTCTCAGTGACATTCAGGCTGTGTCCCTCGTCCCTTTTTTTTTTTTTTTTTGCTGTAGGACTTCTGGCATTTCCATCCTGCCACTTTTAGACTTTAGGTTGGATGAGCGGCAGGTCAATTCCATTGCAGAAAAGCTCAAATTAGTGCCAAGTCATCTCTTTGTCATAAAGATTACAACATCCCCGGCTTGAATCAACTGAACATCAGTTGATGCCAGAAATAAATCCATCTTTCCCCAATGACACGCATATATATATATATAAAGTTTTTCTATCGAAGCACCTGGTCTACCTCAATATGTGGGAGGGAGCATACTGCTTCCCTTTCGCCTTTCAGCTCCAATCCAGGAGCCCTCAAGCAGTCGCATTCACGACAAACCATATATATATATTCATTCATTCATTCATTCCCAGGTTCCTCCGCTAAAGCGAACACAACTTTGACATTGGGTCAACAACTATCTAACGTTGCAAAAGGCAGCTGCGGAGACACAATCATCCTTTTTCCTCCAGCAGCAAAATAAAGTTTCTGCTTGGGAAGAGTTCTCTCGTTTCCTTTCCTCCCTACTGGAGAGTTCATATTCAGCATATCCATGGAGTAATGAATTCTTTACACTTTTTTAAAAAAAATTCTTATTTTTGTTCGGGAAGGGAAGAAGGGAAGGGGTTGGAAAAAGCACAATGCAGCATAATGGGTGTGAGACCCTCAAGCCTTTTTGCCGGCTGTACGATTTTTAAAAAAAAGAAAAGAAAAAAAAAACACAGAGAAAAAGCAACAGCCTCATCTGGATGACATAATTAAATTACGCACGTTTCCCATCGCATCCTGGATCGTCTTTAACCAGATCTTCCCATCTGAACAAATGTCACGCAACAACAACAACAGCCCAAAATGAAAGAGAAAGAATCTAACTTACCAAAGGGACCTGCCTAATTACCAGTTGATCAAAGGGAATGAAGGATGAGATTTTCATGTTGTTTGGGGTGGTTCGTTTTTTTTCCCCCTCCTCTCTACAAGGAATCTCTCTTAAATTCACTCGTGTTATGCTATATTTGGAGCCGCCTACTCAGAGAATAGGCATTGATTAAAGTACGATGGCATATAGGAAGCTTTGTTTGAAATCAAAAGCATATTATGCCCAAGAGAAAAAAATGCAGAGTGGATTCAACAGGTGAGCAAAGCAATTCTAACAGAAACAGAAGGAGGAGGAGGAGGAGGAGGAGGAGGAGGTGGTGGAGGTGGTAGGGGGGCATTGCGTTTTATGATGATTTCCAAGAATGAAATTATGGAGTTATAATGCTAAGAAAATATGCATTTGTTTTCCTAAAGGCAACCACCAATGGCTCAGATAAAACGCTGGTTTCACAAGCCAATATACTCTTTCTAAACATAAGAGGATGCATATGCTAGCCCCCATAACAGGTACTTCAATCCAACTCCAAGCACCAAGGACCCTTCAAGATTCAATCTAATTCTCAGGCCCAACAAATGAGCAACAAGATGGACAAAAATGGTCTGAAACATGGTTTGCTTAAAAAGGGGCCAGGTTCTCATGCTGTGCTAACCAGGTTTGACAATCACAAAGAGTTGGCTTTGCTTCAGTTGCTAAGCCGTAAGCAAAAACATTGTAGCCCAATGTGACAACCAGTGAAAACCCATTGGAAGGTCAAGGCTGTATTTTGCATGGAAGAGATCCTGGGTTCAACTTCTGGCGTTTCCAGGAGAAAGATGCCTGAAAACATGGGAGATAAGGTTGTCTGCAGGAGGAAGAGAAGAGCAAGGGGACACCTCTTTCATAATGACAACTGTGCAAATGACACCAATTATTCATTTGATGATTACATCATTGTGTAAGGTGTCTTATCAGACACCTATGCCTAGAAAGTCACACTTAATCAGTATAGTAAATGTTGAAAACATAAAAGCAATAATCTGACTCTTTAAAAGCCGTTCCCTAATTTTTTGCAAATGTTTTAGCCTCACGCTGCAAAAAAAAAGAAGAAGAAGAAAAGAAAAAGAAAGCTATATTGGAATCTGCATCAAAATCTCTGCTTCCTTACTGCAGTGAGAGTGTGAACCCAGTCAAATGATTGGTGCCATCCAAAAATCACCAACTTGTTCACAGATAAGGACACTGAAATGTCTCTTTCTCTTCGCTCATTTCCTAGAATAAGCTGGCATTGTTACAGGCAGCTGTTCCAATCAGCTTTTAAGCATGGAACTAGGCTTGCAAAGAATTGAATCAGGGCCCGCAGCTTTGACTGACAGCCTCTTCAAAAAAAAAGGAGAACAAATACAGCACTTTGAAGAGGTGAAATCAGAAGCAGGAGGAAGTTTCTGGAAAGTTTGCACATCAATTTTCTGTTAACGTTCAAGGCAGAATTATTTCCATCCTTCTATATCCATCAGTCAAACTTCCATGCCAGAGACAAGTTGCTGGATCTAAAACTCCAGCCAGGCTGAAGAATGCTGGTTAGATGGAGAACATACATTGGAACTTGATTTTCATTGCTTCCACTAACCGTCTGCCATTTCCCCTCTCCCCCCTTTTTTTTACACAAAGCATACACAGTGTTAGAAAAACAGTGACCAAAATGCTTAGTGGAAATGCCCTCAGTGTGGATCAGTGGGGAAATTCAATTTTTTTTACTACCGGTTTTGTGGGCATGGCTTGGTGGGCATGGTGTGGCTTGGTGGGCGTGGCAGGGGAAGGATACTGCAAAATCTCCATTCCCACCTCACTCCTGGGGGAAGGATATTGCAAAATCTCCATTTCCACCCCACTCTGGGGCCAGCCAGAGGTGGTATTTATCGGTTCTCTGAACTACTCAAAATTTCCGCCGGTTCTCCAAACTACTTAAAATTTCTGCTACCGGTTCTCCAAACTATTCAAAATTTCTGCTACCGGTTCTCCGAACTACTCAAAATTTCCGCTACCGGTTCTCCAGAACCTGTTAGAACCTCCTGGATTTCACCCCTGGTGTGGAACATTTGAAGATAGGGAGTAGCCAACATCTCGTCATGACTTCTCACAAGGCAGCTAGGATGTCACTAAAGCTTTGGACTGCAGTCTCATTTTTCAGACTTAATGAGAAGATATAATGCAAAACAAAACTGTTCTTTGTCAAAATCTAGAAGACGGAAAAGCAAGAACTTCATACTTAGCTATCAACATAAATCAGAACCCAGGGTGTGATGTGATTGAGGAAGGCAATATCGCTGTTAGCTAGGACTTCCTCTGATTATATTGAGCTAAATGCCCAGCGTCCCTGTTTATTATGCGTGCTGTTGGCTTCTGGACATGGTAATTTAACATTGAGACCTGGTTTGGTCTTGTATTGAAGGCAGCAGAGTAGAATCTAGGAGACTGAGAGTTGTAGTCCTGCATTAAGCTGGGTGACTTTGGGCCAGGTCCCCCCCCCTCTCTTTCTCTCTCTCTCTCTCAGTTCAATCCAATTTACACAATTTTGTAATGAGGAAAATAGGAGGAGGAAGGAGAATTAGGTGTGTCCGCCACTTTGAGTTATTTATAAAAATAATAAAGGTGGGATTTTTTAAAAAATCTAAAAAAAAAATAAATCCAAGGGTTACAAGTTGTTCCACCCCTTCAAAAGACCCCCCCCCCGCCTGCACTTCCTCTATCTCTATAATGTTTACAGATGAGATGTGGAATAATCTCTTCTGGATTCTCAACTTCGGGTTGATCTTTTGCCCTGTTCCACAGATTCTTCCTTCAGGCATATTTTTCTTTCGACTTATTTTTCTTATTATGTCCCTATTGTTCCTTTTTCTTTGTGCAATGCAATGCAACGAAACAAAGCAAAATAAAATAAAGGGGGCAGAGGACAAGGGGCCTCTTTATTCCAAAGGTATCCATGAGTAATATTTCTTTTTGCTTCTGCTGCAGTCCTACAGCAGTTTGCACGCTACCTACAAACAATTAAAAGGGTCTGTGTGTGATTCTTATTACAGATTTCTTTTTTTAAAAAATTCAAATAACCAGGCAATCCAAATTTCCTGACAGCGTGAGAAACACAAGGCAAAGCAAAACACCCAGCTCTATCTATTTTTCAACTCTCTTTTTTTCTCTTCTTTTGAAAAAAAAGAAATTACTCCAAGCTTATTTGATTTCCAGGACCAAAAAAAAAAGGAAAAAGGAAAAAAATGGATGTTATTTTTGTGTAGCTTTTAAAAAATATATTTAAATAAACCTGGAGAATTTTCCTTTTTTTAAAAAAAATAAAAATAAAGCTAGGGAAAGGCCATAAGAGTTGTTCCACAAGACACTCCCCCCCCTTTTGATTGACAGAGCAAATATTTGAAAGAACTCAATATATCTTTCCATCGCATTGATCTTTAGTCTCTCTTAAGCAAGCTGGGAGCAGAAAAACACGAACTGGAGAAGGAAGGTGACAAAATGTCAAATCAGTTCTATCACTGTGCCTCCTACATTATCATCCCTATCCCTGTTTAAATTTGTCCCCCCCCCCGCCACTCTCTCTCTTTTTAATAAAATGTTTCTTAACACAGTTGAGAAGAGATTTTCATTTTGTCTTACGGGAGAGGACAAACTCACAAACATTATATGTGCATATTTAAGATTTTGCGGATCTCTTTATACAATGACTTCATTGGCCACACCTTCATGCTTTCTAGCTTGTGATCTAAAACTCATCATTGGCACTATGAAACCCACAAGAACATCACAGTCTTATTTCAGAGCAGGTATGGGTTGAAGTCAAGTACTTTGGCCACCTAATGAGAAGGAAGGACTCACTGGAGAAGAACCTAATGCTGGGAACGATTGAGGGCAAAAGAAGAAGGGGATGACAGAGAACGAGGTGGCTGGATGGAGTCACTGAAGCAGTCGGCGTGAGCTTAAATGGACTCCAGAGGATGGTAGAGGACAGGAAGGCCTGGAGGAACGTTGTCCATGGGGTCGCGATGGGTTGGACACGACTTCGCAACTAACAACAACAAAATGGGTTGAAGGTCCCCGACTTGTTCTTTGGGTGCCTGTCCTATTCTTAAATCTAGGTATGAAATGTAATTAATGCTGAAGTTGAAAAGGCCACACACGTGCACACACAAACACACAAATATATTCATTTTTGGTTCTCCCTTTCACAAGGGGATCATCCTGGAAATTGTTCTCCCTTTCCAATGGCTATTTTGTTCCCTAAATCTTCAGCCTGATGCAGGATGAATGGATTGTCTGAAACCTTGACAACACACGCAATGGAAACGGGCTGGGCATTTGAACGGTTGCCTGATGCTTGTCCTGAATTTAACATCTGTAACTGATCTTTCCAGCAGTTGGACCGCTGGTGTTAGGAATGAACCAAGCTGCCTTCCCTGATTTATTCCTTCGGAAATTACTAATTCTGTCGTTGCATGCTTTTAATTAGGAGGCAGATGCACTAAAGGATGGTGGAGCTTCCTTCCTTTCTGTTATGGGCTCTCAAACTCCACCATAGCAGGAATCTGTGGATAATCTCAGAGAGAATGAGAGAGTTCGTATCTCTTGTATCTGAAGATCAGAAAATTCTGACATAATGGGCAGCAAGAGAGGCCTGTTTTTGAAGCCAGAGCGAACCTTTCACAAGTATTAGAAGTAGTAGTTTCACAATACTTCTGAGAAACTACCGTACTTTTCAGAGTATAAGACACACTTTTCCCTCCCCCTAAAAGAGGATGGAAATGTTGGTGTGCTTTATACACTGAATACAGCCATTTTTGGCCTCCCGAAACCCCGCTCTGCACGTCCCATTTTTGCCAAAAACAGGCCCATTTTTTGCAAAAACAGGACACACAGTGGGTTTGGGAGGCCTGCAGAGTGCTCCTGGGAGCCGGGGAGGGCAAAAACCAAACGCGCGGAGGCCAGTAACTATTTTGTCTTGTTTTCCTCTTCAAAATCTTGGTGCGTCTTATACTCCAGGGTGTCTTATAGTCCGAAAAATACGGTAATTTGGCCCTCTCAACTGCCTCTACTATGGACATTCTGAAGAAAGGAGTGATCTACTGAACTGGGCCCATAGGAGTAGAACTGGGAGAAGTTGGTGGGTGGAAACAGTAATGTACAAACATCTGCAAAAACCACAACAGTCTTGTCCATGTAGCCAATCTGAAACCTGCTACCCTTCCTAACTTGTTAGAAAGCCAGTAGTACCATTAGCTCCAGGCAGAGATGGGAATCTGGATTATTATTATTATTATTATTTACTACCAGTTCTCATTCAGCTTGATGAAAAGGACTTTGATGTCCGCATTTCTTTCAAAGGCAAGGAGAATTTTGGAGAACTTCCATGGGTGACGTGCGATATCCTTATATGGATTTCATTGCAAAGTGGCAGAAGGATGCGTGCCAAGGTCCACCAACCACATTCCATCCATCACTACCTCGTTGCAAGCAGCCCTTGAGTTACAACCATCAATGAGCCCCCCCCCCGATTTCTGCTGCTAGGCGAGACCGTTGCTAAGTGAGTTTTGCCTTATTTTACAACCGGTTGTTAAATGAGTAACATGGTTATTAGGTGAATCTGACACCACCAGCCCCCCCTTGACTTTTGCTTGTCGCAAAAGGGGATCATGAGACCCCTGGGGCACTGCAATAATCATAAAAATAAACCTGTTGCCAACCATCCAAATTTTTGATCACGCGACCATGGGAATGCTGCAACGGGCCATGTGAAAAAACAGCCGTGAATCCCTTTCTTCAGTGCTGTCGTCATTTTGAACAGTCACTAAATGAGCAGTTGTAAATCAAGGACTAGCTTTACAGCGTAAATCAGATATCTTCCAGTTGTAAGTTACCTTTAATTTCAAGGGAAGCTGGCCGGAGAGAACCTGGTCTCTTCAAATAGGAAGCATGTTTGGACAGGGTGATGGAAGGAAGTGCAACAGAAAATAACAGCACTAACCATAGCATTCTCTACCATCTCCACAAGAAAGCCGGGATCGAAATGCCACCCAGGGAAATTCTCAAGCACCCTGAGAATTAAGGTAGAAAAACAGAAGCGTCTTTTGGCAAGGAAAGGACCACTTCTGAGAAACTGCAAGGCAGATTTTAGCCCAGCAAGAAGTACAACGATCTGGGCCACTGGGCTTTACCCACACTACATACAAACAAGACAATCTACGTAGTTTAGTGCATTACTCGTAATAAGATACTCATGGAACGCTGACCTATGTATGGTGTATATATAACAGGGGTTCTCCCAACTCCCAGGCCATGGACTGGTACCAGTCTGCGGTCTGTTAGGAACCGGGACGCACAGCTGGAAGTAAGCAGCGGGCGAGCAAGCAAAACCTAAGCCATCCCCATTCCACCCAGTCCATTGTCTTCTACGAAACCAGTCACTGGTTCAAAGAGGTTGGGGCACCACTGATATATTAGGACTCACTTATTAAGTTATAAGCTCAGTTCATTTCTCTGAGGCTCTTTGATAAGCCAAAAGAGTTTAAATATATAGGCAAGGTTCAACGCCTGGAAATCAAAGTTTGGAGAAATAACATCGTCTCCTTCCTCGGGGTTGTAAGAAAAAGAAAGAAAGAATTCGACTTCCTAAAAATGTCAGCACTTTTTGCATCTTTGCAAACGAGATAAGAGAAACCAAAGAAGAGAAGGGGAGGAAAAAAAGAAGAATGTAAAAAAAAAAAAAAACACCACCTGGCCAAATGAGCAGAAACTGGGAAAGGGCTGAATTTTTGCAGGTTCCCCCAAGTCTTAGATTGTTGTTCATAGAACACAACCACAAGCACAATTACAACAGCAAAAAAAAAAAAAAAGGAACCCAAAAAACTTGAAACGCCTTTTGTTTTTCCCCGACCGCCCCCCCCCCAACACTCGACACACAGGAGTTTGCAATATCAAATACGATAATAGTACAGAGAAAGCATGTGGCAGCAGAAAGCTCTCCGGACTGAGGGGGTGATTCATAGCAAAAGAGCACCATCTTAGAATATGGATTCACTCTGGATACAGGGCAGATCAGAAGCTCCATAGGATTAGGGATAGACTACAAATGGTTTTTATTCCCACACTGAACCCTAATGAAGGGAGAAGGGAGGCACTTTGCCCACATCAAGAGGTCCTGAAATAAGCACAACCAAGTTCCTAGCGCATAGCCGCCCCCGTCTAAAATCAAGGGCACCGCATTACACATCGCCTAAGACGGAATCGGAGGGCTTTTTTTCACCCCACAAAAAAAACTCACGGGAGACCCAACTGTCAACCCATTTCTTGCCAAGGTTGCTTGATCTGGAAAAATACAGGGGGGGAAAAAAAAAATACTTTGCGGATAATACTTCCGTCAACCGAAGGGCCCTAACGTCACTTACCCCGCTAGAGAAGAAATAGGGGGAAAAGGAAAATAAAACGGTGTTCGTTTTGCTTCACTAGCCCCCTGATGAACCACATGAGATTGTCACATTAACGATCGCTTCATTTTTTTTTTTTTTTATAAACAATACATTGAAGGAAAGCTTCTAAATACAGCAACTTTGCCTGGTGAACTGTCAGTAAGCTCTTTAAAAATGGTGAGACGTGTTTGGTGAGGGCGTTTTTCCTTCCATCCGCTTTAGAGTACAATATCCTTTAGCCTCTTCACGCCAGGCGAGTCTTTCTCCCTACATTCTTGTAGGAGAGGGTTAATTTCATGCACTGTATTCTCACTGTCCGCGCCCCTCGGCTCCGCTTCCGTAGGCCTGGAGGGACCATTGGTCACAAACGGCTCTAAGTCGCGACTGGACGGGCAGTGAAATAGGCTGTAGGACACCGACGGTTTGCTAGACGAGGGACTCTTCAAATGGACGGGCGAGGTGATGGGACTGATAGCCTCACAACCGTTCCCAGCCTCCCGGATGGCCCCGTTCACTTTTGGACTACAGATGGGTGGATCCAATGTCCTTTTCCCTTTGACATTGATCGGGCCCCGTTCCTCAGAAACAGGGTCACTCCTGTCTTTGCCAAATGTTGCAAAAGTTCTCTTTGCAGTAGAGTCTTCGTAAAGCTCCGTATCCACAGTGGAAGCTCCTATAGAGAGGGACATGACGTTCCTTCCATGTTCAGGAGATTTGCCTCGGGCTGGGGCGGGATTCCGAGGCATCCAGCATCGGTCAGAATGGCCAAGGATCCGACACTCTTCTCGACAGTGGAATCCTTCACTCTGATCTAAGGTCAGGAGACAAAAGGAGAGAAGAATGTTATTAAAGGGTTGCGTGATATACGTGTTTTGTTTCATGTTTGTTCATGTCCCAGATGTTCAGTCATGCTCTTCGGGTGGCTTCAGCAAACCAGAACCTAGAATATTTCTTCTAGGATTTGGTTGTAACAAAATCTGGAGGGGCGGGGAGGGTTATCTTATGGGGTATACATTGCTCTTTGTCCTTCTCTCCTTAATTCTCTGGGAAGTAGGACAGGACAGGACAGGACAGGACAGGACAGGACAGAATTCTTTATTGTCCAAGTGTGATTGGAGACACAAGGAATTTGTCTTAGGTGTATATGCTCTCAGTGTACATAAGTAGAATAAAATGCATTCATCAAGAATAAAAAGATAGTGATAGTCAAGATTACTAATAAACTATCAAATCGTACTAGGAAACAAATAAAGAATAGAATAGAATAGAATAGAATAGAATAGAATAGAATAGAATAGAATAGAATAGAATAGAATAGAATAGAATGGAATGGAATGGAAAGGAACGGAACGGAACGGAACGGAACGGAACACAACACAACAGAACAGAACAGAACAGAACAGAACAGAACAGAACAGAACAGAACAGAACAGAATAGAATAGAATTCTTTTATTGGCCAAGTGTGATTGGACACACAAGGAATTTGTCTTTGGTGCATATGCTCTCAGTGTACATAAAGAAAAAATAAAATACATTCGTCAAGAATCATAAGATACAACATTTAGTGATAGTCATAGGATACTAATAAGCAATCAAATCATACTAGGAACCAATAAAAACAATATAAATTGTAAATATACAAGCAACATGGATATAGCCATAAGTGGGAAGAGATAAGTACTAGTAAGGATGAGAAGAATAGTAATACAGCCTTACGACCACAATTGAGCCCGAAGTTTCTGTTGCTAAATTGAATCAATCCAGTTGTTAAGCTAGTAACATGCTTGTTAAGTGAATCTGGCTTCCCCCATGACTTTGCTTGCCAGAAGGTCATAAAAAGGGATCACGTGACCCCAGGACATTGCAACTGATGGTCATAAACATGAGTCAGTTGCCAATTATTTGAATTTTGATCATGCGACCACAGGGATGGTGCAACAGTTGTTAAGTGTGAAAACGGGTCAGAAGTCGCTTTTTTTCAATGCCATTGTCACTTCGAATGCTTCACGAGAGGAACCATTGTTAATCAAGGACTTCCCAGAAAGGCAAGAAGAGCTTTCAGATTTGCAAGATCAGATTTGTGTTAGCAATCATGGTTTTGGTTTCTGGCTTTGACTACCTGGAAGGGCTGACACAAAGGCATCAAGTTTCCTAAGAAAATGGCTACAGCATATAAAGAGAATTTGTATAAAAAGTTTTATAGATGACACATGTCACTGGAAAGATTGGCAAAAATGTTTAAAGATAAATCAACTAAATGTTGGAAATGCCAACAGACACCGGGATCATACTATCATATGTGGTGGACATGTCCAGAAGCGAGAAATCATTGCGCAAAAATTCAAACATGGTTAGAGAAAATGACACAGCAACATATTGATTTAAAACCGGAGCTCTTCCTGCTGGGTATCTTATTGGAGAAAATTAGTAAAGGAAATATATATTTGATCATACATGTAATAACTGCAGCAAGAATTGTATTTGCACAAAATTGGAAAGCAGAAAAAATTCTTACAAAGGAATTTAAGAGGTAATCAAGAAAATATTAGAATGATGCAGAAATGAATAGATTAACAATGGCAATTAAAGAGAAGGAAGAATCGGAGTATTGCAATACATGGGGAAAATTTTATCAATGGATAGAGATTGAATATAGACAAAAAACAGCATAAAATTTAAGAAATCTGGAAAGAACATGTAATAAATTAAATTAAAATCTAAAAGCAAAGAGATATATGTATTAAGAAAATGGTGGTGAATGTGGAATATGATGACAGAAAAATCTTGTACTCAGATGACACACTGATTGATTAATGATGTGCCGTTTGTTTAAAAATAAAAATAATAAACTTTCATCTCCCCAAATTTCCTAAGAAATAAGAATATCAATATTCAAGTCTCGTTGTCGAAGCTTCCTGGGGGAGGAGCCCGCAAAACCGCACTGTAATTTTGCCTAGAGAACAGAGGAGTTGCCATTCGCTCACCCTCCTCTATAAAATGCCTCCCGTTTCCTGTAACAAGCTGTAGACATTTGTGAAATGACATTTTAAAGGGTTTTTTAAAATCCCGGCGGCTCCCCCTTCTCTCCCTCCCACCCACCCCCTTTTCTTTTAACAAGTCGAAGTTCAACTTTCAACAGACTACGGTGTCAGCTGGCATTTCTACTGCTGTTGCTGTGCCTGTCAGAAAAGAAAAGCTGGAGGGAAACAAGTTGCAATGCGAAATAAATTAAGCCCGTATTTGTGAAGTCAGCATTTTTCTCCCCCTTCCCGATGCCAGCGCTAAGAGGCATGGGGCTTTAAACCCTGCCTGACGCGAGATATCCAGTTATAAATGCCACAATTAAGTTTACAGATTCTCACGCCTCCCCATCCAATGTTTTAGTTAATTGCTTCTTGAATTAGTACAAATTCCTTTAAGATATCTCTGGCTTGCTATACAGGTAGTCTTCAACTTACAACCACAATCAAGCCCAAAATTTTTTGTGTTGTTAAGTGTTTCCAAAGGTGCTTTTTTTTTCCCCCAGGAGGCAATTGGGAAAAACTTTCTTGTTTTTTTCTTTGAAGACGTTTCGCTTCTCATCCAAGGAGCTTCTGCAGCTCTGACTGGATGGTGAGGAATGGAAGGATTGATACTCCTTGCAGACAGCTGGTCATTTGCATCCTTTTAGAGGGTCGTTGAGGCCACTTGTGTCCTCAGGAAACAAAGTCCACTTGCCTCTTGAAAAAGCATCTTTCGGGCAACTATGACCTGGATGACTGAGAATCTCTATAGATTTTTTTGCATCTTTGCAAATGAGCATCCTTCGAATCGTGGGAGTAGGAATGGATTTCCAAAAAACTGCAGACTACAGGAACCATTTGCACTACTCAGGTGACCCTGAGGACACAGATAAACCTCCAAGTGCTTCAACGACCCTCTAAAAGGATGCAAACAACCAGCTGTCTGCAAGGAGTATAAATCCTTCCATTCCCCACCATCCTGTCAGAGCTAAAGAAGCTTCTAGGATGAGAAGCGAAACGTCTTCAAAGAAAACCAAGAAAGTCCAGTTACCTCCTTTAAAAAAAGCATCTTTGGGACAACCATGATCTGGATGACTGAGAATCTTTACAGACTTGTGGTCTTAAGTGAAACATTTGCTAACGTGAGTTTGTCCCATTTTATGTCTTTTTCTTGCCATGACTTCTCAAAAATATACCTCTTAACACTTAAATGGGACTTAAAGGTAAAGGTTCTCCTCACACATATGTGCTAGTCATTCCCGACTCTAGGGGGCTGTGCTCATCTCCGTTTCAAAGCCGAAGAGCCAGCGCTGTCCGAAGACGCCTCCGTGGTCACATGGCTGGCATGACTCAACGCCAAAGGCGCACGGAACGCTGTTACCTTCCCACCAAAGGTGGTCCCTATTTTTCTACTTGCATCTTTTACGTGCTTTCGAACTGCTAGGTTGGCAGAAGCCGGGACAAGTAACGGGAGCTCACCCCGTTATGCAGCGCTAGGGATTCAAACCACTGAACTGCCGACCTTTCTGATCGACAAGCTCAGCGTCTTAGCCACTGAGCCACTGCGTCCCTTGACTTACTGCTATGTTCACATGCAGAAGGTTGCAAACTATTTATTAAACCTTCTATATCCTCTTGCTTTCTGTTCTTTCAGTCAACCAGGGAGTCTAGGCGAAGATGTAAAATTGATTAGGCAAATGGTCAGGGCAAAAGAGGGCAAGGAAGTGATTAATTATGCTCCAAATCGTATGCTGCCCCGAAAGGCAGTTCAAATTCCATTAAAGGGAAAACCCAGCAAAACTCCATTAAAAGACAGTAGGATGTCTTTGTGCCCTACTTTACAGTAGCCGTATGACTCCGTTGTTATGCAACAGCACTTGCTTTGTTGTAAGAGCTGAAACTCAGCCTGAAGGGTTGTTCAGACCTTTGGGACCCCACTTAAGAAGCCATCCTAGTAAAAAGGTCCATGTTTCAACAGCAACCATCATCCTTTCTAATTCTGGTCCTCATCATAATCATCTCAGCCAGTCATGTAATTTTCCAACTAAGGCTTTGTCAAGAGTTCATTGCAAAAATCAAATCCGAAAGCCCACACAGCAGGGGTGAAATGCTACCGGTTCACCCCGATTTGGGTGATAAAAGCTACCAATTCGGTCGAACCGGTAGTTTTAAAAAGCTACCAGTTCATCCAAACTGGTATTTCTGATGATCAGCTGTGCCGTGCAGTTTATATTCGCTAGAAAGCAGGAAATCCTAAACTAAATCATGCGGCACAGCTGTTTCCCTCACCTCGATGTTCTACTCTACCTAGGGAAGTCTTCTTTTTCCATGTGAAGCACACGTTTGATGCGCGCTGCACATGTCCTCCTGTGGCTTTACTCCCGAGTTGACCCTTGTTCCTTAGTTCCTTAGTTCCTGGCAGCTCTGCGCATGCACACATCGGGAACAGGCTCCAGCTGTTCTTCTGCCCCACTGATGTCCGACTCCGAAGGCAGCTGATAACTGTCGGACGGCCCTGGCCCCATCTCTGCCTCCGATGCAGAGCCCTCATCAGAGCCTTTTCCAGACTCCAGGACTGGCCCATGTTCCTCCCCAATCTCCTCACTGTCTGAATCCACCAGGGGCTTCGCTGGTGGGCTACAACACCAGGTTTTAAAGTTGCCAAGGTTGGACACCCTGATATAAACATTTCTGATCCTTTTAAAAAGAAAACATAGGAAAAATACACACTCACATACACAATTACTTGGACAAAAGACAGCCAGTGGACCTGGTCTTCGGTTTTAATATTAGTGTTAACTACATTCA